TTATCCAACAGTATATATCCTTTTTTAAGAAGCTTGAATTGTTTAGCATGAAGGCTCCATTTTGCACGCAACTCGTGTTGTATCTTTGTTGTACTGAAAATGAGCCTTAATTATGATCTGTTACGAAATTAATAGCGATTAATTTGGCAATTTTGAGAGTTACACATGAAATTTTAAGTTCAATATTGGATGCCATAAGTGCTATTAAATTAGTCTTGTTATTTCTTTCTACTATTCTGCCAACACTTCGATAATAAATTACAAAGTGCACTCTCTACCTTTAATATTTGTAGCCATGATTGAATTTCCGAGACCCGCATAGAAAATTCAGTTAGTCATAAAGGTAAAATTCGTAAAGAATGATTGAATCCCCGAGACCCCGTCGACCACTCTGTCGCTGGAAGTTTGGAATCATATAATTTTGCAACAGCGCAGCTGTGTAATTTTAAACAATTCATGTCCATTATTTAATTTCGTGAATATTATTTGAACTTCCAAATTTAATACTCCACACTTGTGTTCCATTGTTCTTGTTATTGGTTAGACTATGTCAACATTGCACAACTTGGATAATCCATACAAATCATTGCCAAATAATATTAATAATTTAACACCCAGTAGTTTGCATTCGCATCTTTAAAAAAAAAAATTGAAACAAACAAAAATCATCATACATTTTTATAATATCAATTGACATCTCGAATTGATCTGTCGTTATTTTGCTCTGTTTGGCAAGACTAAGCTTATTTAAGAGTTTATAACTTATTTTAAACTATTAATAAGCTATAAATCTTGTTTGGTAATGTTTAAAAAATAAGCTGTAATTCTGTATGAATTTTGTTGCCAATTAATAAAATGAGGTCATGTATATGAATAATTGAAGCCCATGTTTCATCTCAATTGTGGATCGATTACTTTTTGATGGGTCTCAAACAATATGTGGACTACAATAGCTCTGATATCAAATTGAAACATGTGCACCATCCCAACTAAAAATTAAGTTGATAGTTGGATTATACATTGTTTATACATTGGAAATTATAGAATTTCCGACCACCTGAAAGTGTTCTTAAATCAAATTGATACCAAAAGGTGGTCGGAAATAGCAACAAAGGTTTTTCCGGATACCAAAAGTGGTCGGAACAAAACTTTCAATTTAATTTAAGATCACTTTCTGATAGTCTGAAATTTCATAATTTCCAGTATTGATATATTAGATTCTCAACATTAGTATAGAATATTATATTTCATTATTTCTTTGAAAATAAAATAATTTTTTTTCAGTAAAAAAATGGGATATATCATTTTTTTTAAGTGTTGGGTGTACGTTTTTATTTAATTATTTATATGTATTTAGATGAGGGTTGACACAGCAAACTGGCAAACAGCAAGAAACAAAAAAGAGGGAGGGAGGACGGCCAGCTGCAATTTCGTCCCATTTTCTTAACAATTCCTCAATCATACCCAGATGTCTCATTCCCGGTGTCTCCGGCGAAACCCATGCAATGTAATATCACCACATTACTCATTTACTCCCAATATTTACCATCAATCAATAACCCAATTTTTTTTTTTTTTATTTCTTGTAACAAATTATTATTATTGCCATGCACTTTGTTGTGCTCAGATGGCACATTTGTAGTTCTTAATAAGGAAAGGTCACAGGATTGAACTCCGGTGATGGGGTATTGAGTCTTTGGGATGCAAGTATAGAACATATACTACTTTGTAATAGAGTTAATAATGTCTTCTGAGTAAAAATCTTAAAAGACATTTTCAATCAAAATGTGTTATTTTTTCTTTGATCATAATGAATATTTTCTATTAATATCATTTTTTTTTTTGTTGATAGTCAAACATTGAAAGAACTGAAAATAAATCAAGTTAAATACTCAATACGAATGACATAACTCAGGTTGACTAAATAATGAAAGAGTAATGCTACATTCTCCTTAATTATGATTTTATCTTTAAATTTGTATTCTTTTATGTGACAATATTTGATTAGTTTCTTTTATATTTAATTTATATGTAGATTTTATTAGTACAGAGTCAATATTACTCAAAAAATATATAAGTAGTTTTTTTTTTTTTTTTTTTTTTTTTTTTTTTTTTTTTTTAATCATTAAGATTTGACTAATCTCATTATGAATAGTGTTTGGTAATCAATGAACAAAACGAATTTTATTGTCATATGAGATAGTAAAATAACATTATTCATAACGAAATTATATTAGATTTAAATTTTACAACAAATTTTAAAGGGAAAATTGTAATTTATGCCCTTCACAAATATGTCAATTATCAATGTCACCCCTGAATTATTAAGGGTGTAAATATTGCCCCTCAATTATCAAAATGTGATATATATTGCCCCTCCACTAACGGAACTGTGAGATCCCGTTATAATTTAGGGTTTAATAAGGTTAATTTGGTAATTTTCTTTTTCACTTTCTTTCCCTTTTCTCCTCCTGCATGTTGACTGGAGAACTCCGCCTCCTACTGCCGCCACCCAAGCCATCACCAATTCCTGCACCACCTCCGGCTACTCCACCGCTAGTCGCGACACCAATATCAGCGCCCATGCCAACCCCATCTCCCGAAAAGCAACATAGAAATTAAAGAAGTGGAGACACAGGTATAAGAACCACCACACTCCAGCACCAACACTAGCCGTGAAAAGCCCGCCAACACAGCCAACAATACAAGAATCTGTGGACATAACACTTGTCCCTCCGCATCTCTTAATATTAAGAAAAACAATCAAATCCAAGAAAGTTTAACATGTAAAAATGGAGTGAACTGAGAAAAAGTTGAAGCCTACCTCCAGGGCAAGAGCATCCATGTTTGCTCTTAAGGCAACAAAGGGGGAGGGGTTCCCGAACCAACGAATCCAACAACCCCCGTTCCTGCAAATGGGTACTTGTAAGGAATCTCCAATTCATCCAATTTTTTCCCTAATAAGCTTACTGTTGTCAAATTCCTCGAACTTCAACTTAGGATTTTCATGTATCTTCCGCCTCATCCCAACTATCTAATCGGAAACCTCGATTTTCTTGGCAAAATTAAGGAAAATATGGGGGATGGCTTCAAGTGTAAGCAAAGAATCTGACAAAACTATAGGAGAAAACGAAAAAAAAAAAAAAAGCAAAAATCAATAGGGAGAAACTCATAATTTCTATTGAATGAAACACTGTCAGCATTAAGAGGTTGTTCCGGAACCAAACGATGGAAGCTCGACGGAGGGCGACGGCAATGGAGGGATCAGAGGGGTTGAGATAATTTAGAGAGAGAGAGGGTTCTGGTTTTATTAATTTTTTTAGTAAAAAAAAAATAAGTGGGAATTGAAAATTACCAAAATAACCTTAATAAACGGAACTTTATAACGGAATCTCACCGTTCCGTTAGGGGAGGGGCAATATATATCACGTTTTGATAATTGAGGGGCAACATTTACACCACTAATAATTTAGAAGTAACATTGATAATTAACATATTTGTAAGGGGTATAAATTACAATTTTTCAATTTTAAAATATCAATAAAATTCTCATACGGAGTACTTTTTTTATACAAAGGGAAAAAACTCATATAAAGCTAAAACAATTACAGAATCATTAGGGGTTTATCTTAAACTACCCCTTTATAAATTGTTTAAAAAAAAAACAATTCCATAATTAGTGAGTGAAAAATGGTTGTGTTTAATTTAACTTTCTATTATTATTACTATTATTAGATATTAAAATTTTCTAAAACTGCACCGAATTTCGAATTTGAAATAAAATTTTCAAATTTATAAACTATGTCCAAAACGATACCAATATAAAGTATGACGTATATTTAAAAAAAAAAATAGTTAAAACTATCATAAACACACATAAAACGTTGAATTTTCTAACCAATAAGCATTTTAGGTTTAGCAAAAATACAGCCTAAAGTTTTTTGTAATAACATATTGAACCCCCTGTCATTTTTAAAATTACACTATGACCTCCTAGCTTTTGAAAATGTTGGCCGAAGTTTGAGAGCTTTTTGGTTAGAGAGCAAACAAAATACATATATAGAGGAGAGGTGGATGATACCCATTTTGGTAAAGCATGGGCGCACAAGAGTTCAAGCTTTCAAGTGCATTTCAAACTTTTCACTTTATATATCTAAATTGCGTAAATTTGAAAGGCAGGGATCTAGTTATTAGTTTCGACATCTAAAATGAATAAATAAGTACAAAGACACACTTTTACCTTATACATTAGGATTTTAGATTCAAAATATGATCACTAAACTTGTACCTTGAAAGCACTTAATTGGCTGATTTCTTATAGTGATGATGACTACATATATTTGAGTTAACTTTAGTATTTATTAACATGTGTGATGTGTGATGACTACATATATTTGAGTTAACTTTAGTATTTATTGGCATATGAATCTTATATTGGAAATAGTGCATTATAACTTATAAATAAACAAGATTTTATTTTTAAATCTTTCAACATTAAATCACCTAATAAATTTGCTCTCATGCCTTATTTAAATGAATGAATAATAAAGATATAAGAATGATTTAGGGTTTGAATCATTTCTTTTAGTACTATTGACTTTATTGCAACATAAAGAGTCAAGACTTTTATATCGAGATTCAATCTTGTAACACTTCTTCAAAGGGAGCCATTGAGGTGCCATCTAAGCACAAGGTTTGAATCATTATTATTACTAAAACTTATAATTGGATAGTATTGGGATCGAGCCTCAGTAGAGATGATATTGACTCTGCTTCAATAAGTTGAAAAAATAGTTATGAACAGATACTGCATTGTAATAGAGTAAGTTGTATTCAAAAAAAAAAAAAAATCATCAATTTTCCTTGTTTGCCTAAATTAATTATTAACTAACGATGAAATTGAGGATTGGAGTGTAATTATAAAAGTTGGAAGGGGTGAAGACGAAATTATCCAAATTGTAAAATACGTGCACGGACATCCGCACAAATACTGTTGTAGTAAACGCTTTCTCTCTCTAGAGTCTCAATCATATACTTGAAAAACATTTCTCTCTCTTCTCTCTCTCTCCCTTCCTTTTAGTTTTCCTCTATTATCAGTTGAAGGAAAAACGAGCAGAGAGTTGTGGACACTAATATGGCGTTTCAGGACCACTTCTCTCAGGAAATGGCTCTTCAACAACAGCAACAGCAGCAGCAGCAGCAAAACGCTGTCGTTTTGCACTCCATGCTTCCGGCCGATCACCACTCCTCCTCGCCCAAATCTCCGCCCTCCACGTGGCTCAACACCTCCCTCCTCCGCCAGCACAGCCACCACTTCTCCGCCCCCGCAGACGCCTCCGCTGCTGCCGCCGCCGCCGGCACCAGCTTCCTCCACCTCCAGACCACCAACTCCGACTCCTCCACCTCCAACCACTGGCTCTCCCCCACCGGCGAGGGGCCGAAGAGCGACGCCGTTTCGGAGCCGATGAATAATAGCAACAATAACGCGAATAATAGTGAGGAGAGTAGCTGGGAGAGGGAGAAGTGCAAGGCGGACATTCTGAACCACCCGCTGTACGATCAACTGCTGTCGGCGCACGTGTCGTGCCTGAGAATCGCCACGCCCGTCGACCAGCTGCCCAGGATCGACGCCCAGCTCGACCAGTCCCAAAACGTCGTCGCTAAGTACTCCGTTCTCGGTCAAGGTCAACAGCCTCTCGACGACAAAGACCTTGATCAATTCATGGTAATTCTTCCTTTATTTTTCTTCTACAATTGTTTTTCCTTTACAACTCACTTCAGTTTTAGCTGAGACTTCTTAATATATATGGATTTTTTTATTTTTATTTTTTTAAATTTTCATACGCGTTTTTGTTGTGTTCCTTATATGGATTTTAAACCTAGCTAAGTTGTTGAATTTCTGGTTTATAGACTTAAATTTACAATAAATGACCGAATGAGGTGCAAAGTTCAATTCTGCAAAAAGGCATGACAGTTATCTTTGTCAATATTGGTGTTATTTGTTTTTCGTTTAAGCATTTGATTAACTGGTCTTATTTAGATGCTTGTTCTTGTTCAATTGGTTGGTAGTTTAGTTTGCTAAATTTGTGTGAGACTTTGATTGTGGAGTACTCCTAAGTTAAGGTATGTCCTGAAATAGCATGTCTATTGTGATGGAATTAGCTTTTTAGTATAGTTTTATTTTTAATTTTAGACACCTAGAGATGGTCTACATTCTACAAAAATGAGCATGCCAATAATCTTTTACCTTAACTATAGATACATTTTCAAGCATGTTTTGGTTCTTTCTGAAGTTGATTGTCAAGTGTATTTGTGGTTTTTAAGCAACAATTATGCAAAGGAAGATTTTCCTCTGTACAACTGCTGGAATGACTGTATGGCTATTTAGATACGTCTTGTTACATGGCACTTTTTATGGATTAAAGTTCCATGCTTTTCATGGCTGTACCTTCATAGCTGAAGTATTGTTCTTTTAAGAATAGTACTTCATAAATGAATGCATCTTTGTTCAGAGAGGGAGATGAGAACAATGTTAGTGAAGGATAAGTTCCTAGGAATGTTCCTGGAGGAACATCAGTTTCCTAGTTAGTTTGCTTGTTCACTCAAAGGTTATTTCATGGGTCAAATTTTGTATTATTAGCTGGAACATCAGAAGTGTCGCATCATAAGAAGAATCTCGTAGGCCTCGGTCCACTAAGTATTGAAGCAAAACATTGGGAGTGCTTTGGAGAATCTCTTTCTTGATATAACAGTTCCCACTTATTATTTGGCCTTGTCTTTGTTGTTCTGTGAAAGTTGTGCTTCTGGAATCAAATTATCTGCATATAATCATTTTGTCTAATGTTTCTAATATACAAATGGCTAAGAAACAAAGAATTTGTTATTTTTATTTTTAACTTTTCAGGTAAAATATCTTTGAAGCGGCTTATTTAATGGATGATATTCTGACTCTGTTTAATAGAAATCTATTTTTTGTCAACTAGATTTACAAATCCATTAAATGAACAGAATCATAGGTTCAATAAAAATCAGTGTTTGAAGAATAGTTTAATGGTATTGGGCTATTGGCTTGAGATTATTATTTGCAAGAGGTCTCAAGTTCAATTTTGCTGCTTCCACCACCCAAAATACTATAAAATAAAATAATATAATATAAACAATAAAAAAATACCACCTTGAGGTTCTACTCTCTTATATCATTCATTTCCATGCATGTTATTCCTTATTTTAACTTATGATATCAGTGAATTATACAGTTCCAATTTTAAATATATTTGTCTATTTATTTCTGCATTTAAATATTGATATTCATTCATTGTTTTGCACATGAAACTTACCATATTCTCTTCTTTTTTGTTTCTTACTCTGATGCAGACACACTATGTTTTGTTGCTCTCATCATTTAAAGAACAGCTGCAGCAACATGTCCGAGTTCATGCAATGGAAGCAGTCATGGCTTGTTGGGAACTTGAGCAGTCTCTACAGAGCTTAACAGGTGACAATCTCCCACTTTATATGCCCCCTTCCCACCTCCACTCCGAAGCCTCTCTTTCTTTTCCTTGAAAACCACAAGAAAATAAACTAATGTGTTGGTTTGAATTTTTGAGTTCATGTGAGGAAATTATATATGAGCAGAGAGCAGTTGATTTGAAAAAGTTTGTCCACCTTTCTCCTATCTATCAATTGATTTCTGATTGTCAAATGTTTCAAATGAAAAATTCTCCTGCATTTATTTGCTTCTGTTTCTTTGATTTCTGCCCTTGCTTTCTTTATTCTAGGAGACATTCTAGTTATGGTGCCCTTGCATCTTCTGTAATCTCCAAAGAAATAAACCAGAAATGGAAAAAATTTAACAGATTCTCTTTATAATTAGTGTACACTTCTCATGATGCTTCATGTGTTTCCTTAATTAATAACATGCTCTTGGACCATGCAAGTCATATTCAACAGTTTGTCGTACATCATAACATCCATCTACAATCATTTCCCCGATTTGTATGGACTCTGTTGTGATATAACTCTCATCAACATCCATGAACACATTGCTCCTGTGTTTTCCTTGTTTGTTCAATCCCTTTCCATATTTCCATAGCAACCACTTATAGCTTCCTCTTTGTTGGACTTTCTTAAGCATACAAGAAAACCAATTACCAGCTTCTATCTCTATAACTTGATACAGATGCCTATACATTGTAAGAATCCTGATAAATTCTTTTTTTGTCCTGATAGACATTTGGCAAATTTTCCTGGTTTTCTGTGTTTCACTTTCATTAATGCATAAAATGACTTGTTATATTATGATTTCCTTTTCCCACTCTTAAAGTTGTCAGAAGACCTAGTGTTTGTGTTTAGCTTCTGAGTTGCTATGCAATCAAATTAAGTAGATAACCTCTATTTCTTCCTATGCATGTGTAATATCTTGCTCAAAATTTATGTATAATCCTGTTAATTGTCAACGATTTTTGTTACAGGGGTGGCACCGGGTGAAGGTACAGGTGCAACGATGTCTGATGATGATGATGAGCAGGCTGATAGTGATGCTAACTTTTTTGACGGAGGTCTGGATGGATCAGACACCATGGGCTTCGGTCCTCTTGTGCCTACTGAAAGTGAGAGGTCTCTGATGGAGCGTGTGAGACAAGAATTGAAGCATGAGCTCAAACATGTAATAATATTGCATCCGTGATACTGGTATGCTGTTAATATCTTCATCTATGCCATTAGTGAATTATTCTTTTGTTTTTGTTTTCTAGGGTTACAAGGAAAAGATCGTGGACATCAGAGAGGAAATTTTACGCAAGCGAAGAGCCGGAAAGCTGCCTGGTGATACTACATCTGTCTTGAAAGCATGGTGGCAGTCACACTCAAAATGGCCATATCCAACGGTAGGAATATGCCCAATTCTCCATATCTTAAACTAGGCATTTATGATTTACCCTCCCTAACTGCCTTTATTTCGCTAATAACCTCAGGAGGAAGACAAAGCAAGATTAGTACAGGAAACAGGCTTGCAACTAAAACAGATAAACAATTGGTTCATCAACCAAAGGAAAAGAAACTGGCACAGCAATCCTTCATCATCGACATCCCAGAAAAGCAAACGCAAGAGGTAGGTTGCTATCCCTGTATGTATCCCCTCGTTTTCTTAGCTACATTGTCTGTTGTAGATCGATCTTGATGCTGAGTCGGTTTTTGGTAAAGCGGTAGTGCAGGAGAAAAGATGAGCAGTGAGCACTTCATCTGAGGAGCAGAAGTTGTATAGTGGCAATCCCATCATTATTCCCAGCATCACAGTACACACATAGTTAGCACGTGAAACGAGAATGGAGCTCTCTGGCGCACACAGAAGTTTTGGCCACTAGACTGCCGGTGTGGGAGACTTATCAGATCCACTTAGACTAGTTAGAATATGCTTTTGAATATAATGTGGCTTACATATTTAAGCAGCAGTGCATATTTTGTTACTTGTTTTTTATTTTTTTTGGCGAGGTTCATCAATGTTTAGCATCTATATATAATGTCTATACTTCGATCTTACCAACGTATCAATGCTTTGTAAGTTTCACCTTTTAAATTTTTGTGAATATAAGTGGCTGTTGATTATGGTTAGGATTTAGAATAGAAGTCAGAAGATGATATTTCTAGATGGCAACGTCAAGGTTTGTTTTAAAATTTAAATGAACAGCTTATTTATTAGCTCAGTTTTCAGTCCATAATTCTAGCTCAAGTGATCCATCTCACTTGAGAAGATCTTACATAAATTTTAATTTGTGTTATGAAAGATTTTTTTTTTTTTTAAAGTAACAAAAAGCTTTATTAATTCCGAACGGAACGGTGGGTGGCAAAGCCTCTCAAGTCATACATGATTGCCAATCAAGCTTTATTAATTCCGGAAGATATTGATTTTAAAATGTTAGGTATTGATTTTAAAATGTTAGGCATTGAATGGTAAATAATAATTTTAGAAATTTATATACCAATTTGAAGTTTAATAATCCAATATAAGTAAGCAAGTTAACTATTAATTATACTTAACCACTTTGCAAATAAAATAAAGCTTACCAGAAAAACAATCAATCGTTATGCCCTGGACCCGTGTCCAACATGCTGGACACGGATAACAGTGCCGTTAGGCACTGTTATCTCCTTCTTTAAAAAAAAAAAAAAAATCAGACTGCTTCGTTATAAGAGTATATGTTCATAATTTTATTACTATATGTTAATAATTGTACATTCATAACTCTATAAATGTACATTCATAACTCCATAACTGTACATTCATAACTCCATAACTGTACATTCATAACTCCATAATTGTACATTCATAATTTTCGAAGCTCTATGTTCACAAATTTAGAGCTCTATGTTCATAATTTTATCACTATATATTCATAATTGTAAGTTCATAATGTCAGAGCTATTTGTTCATAATTCGATCAATAACTGCACATTCATAAGTCCATAACTGTAGATTCATAATCTCATAACTGTAGATTCATAACTCCATAACTGTACATTCATAACTCCATAACTGTACATTCATAATCTTCGAAGCTCTATATTCACAATTTTAAAGCTCCATGGTCATAATTTTATCACTATATGTTCATAATGTTAGAGTTTTGTGTTCATAATTTCATAATTGCATAACTGTACATTCATAACGGAATAACTGTACATTCATAACAGCATAACTGTACATTCATAATCCCAAAAAAAAAAAATAACGCCATTAACACCGTTAACGGCAAAACACGCGCAAAATTATTATTATTTTTTTAAAACTAAATAACGCGTTTTTTTTTAAAACGACGTCGTTTTGGGTCTGTGTCCACACTTCATTGTGGACACGGTCCAGGGCATAATTTGCCAAAAACAATCTCCTGGGCTACTGACTTATAAACTAAATATTACTAGAAAAAGAAAAAAAAAAACCTTAGCTCCTCACTCATAAAATAAAAGATCTGATTATTATACAGAAATGACATTTATTAAATGTCCACAATTGTGAATTTTACTCGTCATCAAAATAAATAAGTAACAGACTTCAAATTTGATATTTTGCTATAGTGGTAAGAAGATTCCTCCTGTACATGCAAGTTGGAAGCACATAAAAAGGGGATCATCACATCTCATGTCTGCGTTACTTCAACACCCCTAATAGTAATATTTTGATTGAAATAAATTAAAGATGATTGGGTCCATAGAAGCTTCTATCCGGCCTGCAAAACTCCATGTTTCATTTTCTTTTTAAAATACTTTCTAAGATGTCACCAATTGGCTTACTTCTTCCCCATATATATATGTATTATATACAGACACGCAATGTTACTTTTACAATTTATACATTTTAGTTTTTGTACACTTATTATGATTTTATTTGTTCAATCAAATGTCAGTATATTGGTTTGGATCTTAGAGCACATATACAACTAAATTAGTTTTGTGTAAAAAATTAAATTATACAACTAAAATATAGTATTTCTATATTGTTCAAATTAAAAATCATATATACAATTATATATGATTGGGTCAAAGTATAATGTAGTGTAGAGACTAGAGAGAAGAAGGTTCTTGGAGCATCTTTGTGAGTTGTGAGCAGTGAGCAGGAAACAGCTGTCAAAGAAGGCGGCTGCTATCTCTTTCTCCATTTGCGGGCCGCCGGCGACATATCATATGTATCCAAATGTCTTTCTCCTCTTTTTTTTTTTTTTTTTTTTTTTTTTTTTTCAAATATACAGTATGGGGGTTTTTTGGTTGTATGGAAAAAAATATTTTGAAAGAAAAAATTCTTCAAAAGTTAACTTAAAAGTTAATTAGGCCCCTAAATTTTTTAAAAGTGTAATTACACTCATTAACAATTCATTTAAGTGCAATGAAGCCTAAAAACAAGTTAATGATCTGTTATCACATGTCATTAGGGTCCAGGTCACATTCCGGCGAATTTTTCGACAAAAAAAAAGTGACCAGCAACTGATCTAGATTTGTTAAAAATTTCGCCGGTCACTTTTTTGTCAGAAATTTTGCCGATTACTTTTTTTTTTGTCAGAAAATTCACCAGAAGGTGACTTAAACCCTAATGACCTGTGATAGCAGGTCATTAATTTATTTTTGGGCTTTATTGCACTTAAATGAATTGTTGAAGGGTGTAATTGCACCTTTAAAAAATTTAGGAACCTAATTGACTTATAAACTAACGTTTGAGGGCTTATTTGACCCTTTTTCTTTATATTTGTGATTTTATAGTCAAATGCGAGCAAGATACGAAAACCAACTATTGATAGCTGGATTAATTAAATAATTACACCAGCCGGAGCCAGATGTAATTGAAGTTATAATATATTGTCATATGATTGAAGTTCATTTTTTTTTTTTAAATATAACAACTAGTTTGATTTAATTTTAATATATATTTTTTAGTAAGGTACGTAATCTTTGATGTAGTTTACACTGCCAAGTGTTTTAGTACTTGAAGTAAAATATTTGATGTCCCTTTTACATTTGTCTTCACCTTTTAATAATGTTACATTATGTAGTTTATTGATCATGAATATATCTAAAATTTTAAACATTGTTAATACATATATTAATGTGAATCATAATTCTATCAATAATGTTTCTATGACATTTTATTAGCTTTCTTTTTAAATTTAATTTATGAATATAGTAGTACTCTCTCAATCCCATTTTGTTTGTTATTTATATTATTCATTGATCAAATTAATTACGGAGTACTTTTTTTATTGATATTTTAAATATATTTTTAAATTTAGTTTTTTTTTATTAAATACGGAGTAAAATGTTTTAACCTATTTTTTTTGTCTGACCACATATTTTATCAACTAATCAACTAATACTATACACATAGACTACATGTTCATGTCAGATAACACACTGACTAATCCATGGCTGAATTGTAGGCGTCTCTAACCTGAAGATTTATGGCACTCCATACCTAAAGTCAATGATTCAAGGATGAATGAGTTTCTTTCACTTAACCACACCCTCCAGATTCTTGGGCTAAACGGTAATATCCATGTCGTTCAACTATTTTGGAATGGATCGGAGGGAGTGTAATTTTATTACTTACTCCAAAAGACTGAATCCCCAGCCCTAAAGGCCCCCACATCCCGACCCGACAGAGCATGTGGGAGGATGTAAATTTATTACTTGATAAAACTGAAAAGCAACCTTAATTAATACTCGTAGTTAATAAAAACCATGGGTAAAAGAATAAAAAAAATTCAAATCCGGTTAATATATACGGAGTATTACATTAACAAAACATATAAATTAAAACACAAAAAATAATTACAAATGACGATTCCATCCCTATCACATTCCACCACCCACCCTCTGACCGGGGGCGGCAAACCTGGTGGAGAAATTACGCAAAAGCCCATCACCTTCTTCCTCCGGCATCCCGTCAGCAAAGTTGAGAGCGTAGCTCTCGGCGTCGTACTGGAACGCCGTCGTTTTCCCTTTCTTGGGGTTGCAATACTTTCCGATCTTCCTAAGCGCGTTCTTCCACTTGGGCCCCGCAACCACCTCGGAAAACTCCTTCAGTTTCTTGAGCTTCTCCCCCAGCCACGACCCCCTGCCGCCGTTATCCTCTCCTCCGATCAGGTGCCTGGCGTCTCCGCCGCCGGAGCCGAAGCCGCAGAGACGAAAACAGCCGCACCAGCTCGGAGGAACGGCGCCGTCGTCGTCGTCGTAGTAGACTCCTGCAGCCGCGGCGCCGGCGCTGCCTTCACGGGAGGATTCTCTTATTGGTGAATACGTGTTCATGAAGGGCTGCTTTTCTTGATAACCGGACATATGAATCGTTTATGTGTATTTAGTTGAATACGTTTGATGGGAGGGGAAGAATGGATAAAATGGAAGTTTTGGTTTGAGATGTTTATATATTAATGCGTGAGCGTGTAGCTTTTCGCGTAGTGCATATTGAATTTTATGAAGGAACGTATAAAGAAGCATCAAGGAAATGCAATGGGATGTGATATTAATTACCAACTTTGACTAATATAATAATACCCCCCAATCTCATTTTACTTTTGAATGCTATTAGCTCTATTACATTGTAATGTATCTGTTCATATACTTTCTCAACCTACTGAAACACAAAGAGCCAATTAACGCCTCCACTGAGGCTTGAACTCACAACCTTCCAAATGGAAGTCCAACCCGGGTACCATTAGACCACATAGTCTTGGTTTTCACTTTCCTTTTTAATTTGTCTAAAAATATTATTCTTTTTTTCAAAATTGAACATCACCCCGCATGGACAGCTCACTTAATCATAGGATGGAGTTTGAAAATAATGACTCGAAATTGAGTCTCATCAGCGATAGTATAGTCTCTGTTTAATCCATGGAATTGGAGATTCAACCTTATCACTATCATTCTACTTTTTTCAATTTATCCATATTAGTTTTGCTGGAAAAAGTTAGATGCATAATTGAAAATTTAAACACATTTCATTTAATTTACGGAGTACTTTAATTTCTTAAAACATGCAAAAAAAAGTAAATATGACAATCAATCTGCGATGAAAGGAACAATAATTATAAGGTAATGATGTAAAATCTGTAGAGTATTCTGGGTCATAGTAGAATAAATCCACAATTTAGAGAAATGAAAGAAAAAGGAAAAATGGAGATATATATAGTTTCTTTGGTTATTTTTATAGTTTCTATTCATATATATAATACTTTTTTTATGAGATGATTAGTCTTTGATAATAAGTTAGTAGGATTAATTAATTAATGATGAGACCCAATAATAATAAGTTAGGAAATTTTTAGAGGACTTAAAAAAAAAAAAAGGTTTCCAAAATTTTCTTATTAAGGAATAGTTCATTTACTCCATTAACTATAAGTGCCACCACCTGTTTGATACTAATGTGGTAGATTTAGGCATTTAGCCGTCCTACTAATTGACAAATAAAACATTCATTTATGTGATTACTAATGGCTTAAAGTCCTGGCATCCTAACTTTTGAGGTTAAAATTGTAATTTTATAATGCGTATATGCACCCAATTGCTGAACCAGTAAATCTACCTACCAAATAAAAGTTACGTTTACAAATTTGGAGAATGACTTGTCCCATGTGGGAGGTCGTGAGATCGAGCCTCAGTGGAGGCGTTATTGATTCTTTGTGCTTTATTAGATTGAGAAAATATGTTTGAACAGATACTACTATATAATAGAGTTAGTAGCATTCAAAAAAATAAAATAAAAATTCAGTGAATAACTTTCGAAAGTTAAAATTTTTAGATTATTCTGTGTTTGGCTATTAAAAAAATGAAGTTAATAGAAAATATCCATTTTGGTCAAATAAAAAAATATCAATTTTAATGAAAAATGACTTTCAAGATTCTTCTCATGTTCAATTCTCTCTCTCTTTTGTGGTGTTAAATCATAAATGGGTAGGTTGGCTTGCCATATGTCTAGTCATGATTTGAATTAAAATATGTTAGTCTGGTTAAAATATAAGTTTAGTCCGTTTAGGCCAAAAAATAAAAAATTCAATGGGGATCATGCATGGTGCATATGGATGCAAAAATGACATTGTTTTGACAAAAAATGCGCGTCTTACTTAAAAAGAAAAGTTCAGTTTTGATTCCCCTCAACATCATTGTGTTGTTAATTCATTCTGAATTTTTAGTTCATAGATTCTGAATTTTTAGTTCGTTCATTGATTCTGGATTTTTAGTTCGTTCATTGATACTGGATTTTTAGTTCATTGATTCGGGATATTTAGACGTAAATCGAAATTGATTTTTTTTTCATTCATGCTGGATATATAGTTCATTAACTATGGATATTTAGTTCATTCATTATGGATTTTTAGTTCATAGATTCTGAATTTTTAGTTCATTGGTTCTAGATTTTTAGTTCATTGATTCTGGATATGTAGTTCAAATTATGCACAACATAATGCTATTGTTGGGAATTGAAACTAATTTTTTTAAAGTGGGATGCACGTTTTTAATAAAACGACGTCATTTTTTGCATCTGGTGCATACGGATGCACAACATAATTTGCTTAAAAATCTTAGCTGGTGCACAACCCAAAAAATTTAAAATATTGAAGTTTTTCTAACAAAAAAATTTCAACGCATTTTTCTAAATTTCTTTAGTTTTGAGTTGTTAAATTTATATATGACTAAATACCAATTTTGGTTCCATGTGTATTAGCAAAATGACGATTTTGGTCCATATGTTTAATTCCTACCAATTTTCATCCACGACTATTGTGTGAGTACCAATTTTCATCCACGATTATTGTTTTAGTACCAAAATTCATCATGCTGGTCACTCATTCGTTTTAAGACGTACCGAAATCTAAAATTTTAAGTGTATTTTCGTCTTTTTCAACTTAAGATCTCAATTTGAACATGAATAGTAAGATTTAAGCTCAAAGATCGATCCCAATTCGCAGTTCTCATCCTCATCTTACCTTAATTTGAGGAGTAGAACCGTGAAATGAGATCGGTTTAAACACACTGTTGTGTCTGACGCACAGTACATAATTGATTATGCACTGCGGTGCACAATATAATTTGCTACCCCGCTAGCCCAAATTGGTACACCAAAATTAATAAATTGAAAGTAATGCACTTAAATTTAATAATAAATATAACAAAAAATATAAATAATGTACTTTTTATATATTAAAATGTACACAAAAGTATGTATACCATATTTCAGGAAATAATTTGCCGGGTTATGATTCTAGTACGTAAGCTAAATCGAGGAATTTTTTAGATTTTTTAAAGATCTCAGATCTGTTTTCGAAAATTGGAGAGCATGTGGAGAGAGAGAGAGAGGGGGAGAGTTTTCCACATGCGCCCTATGATTCCACACAAACACACTCATAAGCACAGAGAGAGAGCGAGAGAGAGCGATTGGTATTGGCTATGGCTTGGTTTGCTGTAACTTCAGTGATGCGAACAATAGAGCTTGAGTTCCTGCAACCTCATCCGCGTCTTGTTCTTGACCACACAGAGGCAGAAGCAGGGGAAGCTCTCCATCGAAGGCTTGCTCACTTGCTAGCCTTTCTTGATAATCATTCTCAGAATCAATTGAATGATGGTGACGACACGACCAAAGAGTGGAAAGGGAGAATTAAAGAGGTTGCACTAAGAATAGAACACGAAATTGAATCACAAATAATTGATATTTGTGGCAGAGAGGACCCGAGAAGGCAATTCCTTGGAAGAGTTGACGACTACATACAACCTCAAAGATTCCTTACAACCTTGCAAAATGCAAAGGATTGGACCGGAGAGTTTACGGAGTTGGTGAAGAACAAACAGCCAATGAAAGATGATGATATCCCTTCTTCCAGAAAAAAAGATTGAGCATCATGCTGCTGGTACACAGCTTCAGAGCACGATATCGGAGCTAATTCAAGATTCGAAAAACTTGAATATTCCGTCGTCCAGTGAAAAGATTAAGCATCATTCTGCTGGTTCAAAGCTACTTCGGAGCTCAACAATGGTAGGACGTCATCACGAAGTGAATATGATTTCGGAGTTACTTCTTCAAGATTCACCCAAAGAAAGACGGGTTGTGGCCATTGTTGGCATGGGAGGTATAGGCAAGACAAAGCTTGCTCAAACATTGTATCAACATCCAACAGTTTCATCACATTTTGACGTTGTTGCTTGGACAACTGTGTCTGCACAATCTGACATGCGACAAATGCTTCTTCAGCTCTTGTCTACTATGCGAATCTCCCAGGAAAAGGAAATCATCAATAAAAGCAACGAAGAACTAGCAGACCTATTACGTAAACGTTTAATGGGTCAGAGGTATCTCATTGTTGTAGATGACTTATGGAGCACAGGCTCTTGGGATGAAATCCAAAGGTGCTTCCCAGAAGATATAAATGGAAGTCGAATATTGGTGACCACTCGACTTCAAGAAGTGGCCATTTCTACAGGATCACATAATTCTTTGCTAAACATGTCTTTCCTAAATGCAGAAGAAAGTTGGAGATTATTTAGTGGGAGGATTCTCAATCAAGGAAGCTACTTAAGCTTTCCGCCTATGAAACTTGAAGGGATATGGAGACACATTGTTAAGTATTGTAATGGATTGCCGCTTGCAATTGTGATAGTTGCAGGACTTATACAAGCCATTGATGAGTCACTATGGGAAACTGAATCAGAGGAGATTGAGAAAATATTATGTGCCACTGTGACCAATAGCCTTCTTGATATTTTTTCAGAGATTCTCAGGTTGAGTTACAACCACTTACCTAATGTCTTGAGAGTTTGTTTCTTATATCTTGGAGTTTTTCGTGAAGATAGTGCAATCCCTATGAAAAAGCTTATTAGATTATGGATAGCAGAAGGGTTTGTGAAGGTAGAAGAAGATGCTGAGGATTACTTAACTGATCTTGTATCTAGGAGTTTAGTTATGATTGACAGTTTGAGCTTAGATGGCAAGATTAAGTCATGTAAGGTGCACGACATCGTACATGACTTTTGTAGGAATGAAGCAATGAAGGAGGGCCTCCTACATGTTGGTGCCCCACATTCATCTGTAAGGACGACTCAACGTTGGTTAAGTTTAGATTCAATGTATCCTAAACTTGATGTGCACACTGGCTTCAACAGGTATGGTTCCCTCTTTTGCTTTCATCATGATGGTCATATGACTCAAGTTTATCAACTTCCTGCAACTCCTCAATTCAAGAGATTGAGAGTACTAGATTTATGTTCTCTCCAATTCATTAACGGTATACCTTCATATGTTGGGGATCTAATTCTTTTGAGATACCTAGCTCTGCGTCCATCCAAGTCTCTTAACAGTTTACCAGTGTTAAAAGATTGGAATTTACAAACTCTCGTGCTTTTTGAAAATTGGGGTGGCAGTACAAGTGCAGACAACCCCAATCCTTTGATACCTGGAATTTGGGAGTTGCCAAAGTTGAGACATCTCCAAGTTTGCACAACATTTGTGTTGGGTACTCCTACTGCGGTTCATCAATACATACAGACAGTTCAATGGTTGCGCCCATTCCAATGTACAGAGCAAGTGTTTTTAAGGATTCCGAATGCAAAAGCGATGGGAATTTTGATGGAGGGCAGTGTGGAATCTGGAGAGCCGAATTGTTTGGATAATTTGAGGTATTTACATCAACTTGAGGAACTAAAAATTGAAAGCAGACATAATAATCCTGTTTTACTTCCAGTAGTTGTGGATGCTTTTCCAGTACGCCTCGAAAAGTTGAAACTGAAGGGAACTTTGGTGCCATGGGATGCTATGAAAGTTATTGGTATGTTGCCTAACCTCCAGGTGCTTAAACTTATAAATGGAGCTTGCCAAGGAGGATATTGGGAACTAACTGAAGGTAGTTTTCGTCAGTTAAAATCATTGCTTATTTATGGATCAGATTTGATGCACTGGGAAGCTACTGGTGATAATGATTTCCCTGTCCTTGAGCGCCTAATTCTTAAACAATGTTATGAATTGGAAGAAATCCCTTCTAGTTTTGGAGATATACTCACTCTACAGTTGATTGAGTTGTGTCATTGTTATTCTGGGCTTGTCAATTCTGCCAAACAAATACAAGAAGAGCAAAGAGATTATTATGGAAATGATGAACTTGTTGTTCGTGCCTACAATATTTGGGTATCTATATATACAACTCACTCAACCTTACTTAGCTTTTGTATGCTATTTTAATTTCTATTTCATTCCCATCCTTAATTAATATATTCTTGTATCTAACTAAATTTCAGAGAATTGGTGAAGAGGAAGTAGAATGAAGATAGTGAAGGAGATTTTGAGGTATTAATAATTATCTCAAAACTGTGGATTCATCACATGCATTATATTCCTAAGTTTATGCAGCCTCGGGGTAGAAATTGTGTATTCATGGGTATATCAGCCAATGTTAAGGGATATATGTTATATAATTTGCTTGATCACACAATTTTTATTTCCCGCGATGTGGTCTTTTATGAACAGGAGTTCCCCTTTTCTGAGCAGCCAGCCAAAGAAGCACCCCAACTATTTAATCCTTCTCTACCAAACATTCCCACGTCAACTTCCTTGAATTATGAGCAGCCAAACAACTCGCAAATCAGTCTCAGTCCTTCTCCAGTGAAAATTGTTGATGATCCTTTATCCTGCGAGTCTAATCAGGAGACAGCACAACATGAAGTGGAAGCCACTGGTGGTCAAGCATCTCTTGAGATTACGGTGACACTAAGGGGGCGTTTGGTTCAAGTTATATAATATAACCAAGGGAATGTGACATTCCAAAGCTCACATTCCGGTATTTGGTTCATATTATCTTAGGGAATCTAACATTCCTAAGGAATGTCACATTCCCTCCACATAGGATTTTGAAGGGAATGTGATTCCCTTCAAAATCTTAGGTAATGTAAGATAACTTTGGTTATGTTAGTTTATTATATATATATATATATATATATATATATATATATATATATATATATATATATATTATTTTTGTAATTATATATATTTTTTATTTTTATTATGTTATGTTAACATATAAAATAATTTTGTTTCTCAAGTTCAAGATTTTAGTTAATATTTTAAAATCATGTAATTATATATGATACCGTTATCTTATTTATTAATTTTAATTTTTAAATTTATTAAAATATATGAAAATATGTTAAGGATATTATAGTGCATATAAAAATAATCCTAAACCAAACATCATTATATTACATACCCCAATTTTAACTAAATACAGGAATCTAACATTCTCAGTAATCTAACATTCCCAGCAATCTAACATTCCCTAAGGTAATCTGACATTCTGTGAACCAAACGACCCCTAAGATACATCCTCTTATGAAGTGGAAGCCACTGTCAATCCTTCAACTCCTTTAAGAGGGTCAAACAGAGAGAGGCACATGCCCAGGAAATTGCAGGAGTACTACTGTGACATGGTTCGAAAGCTAGGTTCCTCACCTCATGCTATATCCAAGTTTGTGTCATTGATCACTTAACTCATGTGCACAAGGTTCTCACTTTGTCTCTTACATCCATAAAGGAGCCCCGTACATACAATCAAGCCATCAAAGAAGACTGTTGGAGGAATGTGATGAAGATAGAAATTATTGCCTTGCAAAATAATAACACTTGGCAGTTAACAGACTTACCAGCTGGGAAAATACCAATAGGTTGTAAATGGATTTACAAAGTCAAGTTCAAGGCGGATGATTGGTGGTAAGGGCTACACACAACAATTAGGGGTGGACTACATCGAAATCTTTTCTCCGGTAGCAAGGATAACCACCATTCGGACCTTCCTAGTTGTGGCTACATCTAAGGCGTGGCATGTTCATCAATTAGACATCAACAACGCCTTCGCCTTCAGTACACAAATAATGTACTTTTAGTATATTAAAAATGTGCACCGTATCTTGTAAATCAAGGAATTTTTAGAATTTTTTTTTTAGATCTCAGATCTGTTTTCGAATATTGGAGAGCATGTGCAGAGAGAGAGAGAGAGATAGAGAGTTATCCGCATGCGCCTCAGTCATGATTCCAATAGAAGAAGATGATGAAGCAACAGCCAGATTAATTCATTATCAATTCCTTGACATTACTATTCAACTTTTGTTCACACTTTCAATCTCACTAAGTTTCTATTTACTATGAAAACAAAGAAATTTAACAACTGTTTTAATAAAAAAATAAAATAAAATACAAAACGTGTTGACTTGGGACTTGGGAGGAACCGCAGTTTGTGTAATAAAGATTACAGAGCATTATTATTATTGCACACAAACACACTCATAAGCAGAGAGAGAGAGGAACAAGTTTTGGTATTGGCTATTTTTGGCAGAGAGGCAGGACCCGAGCTGAGAAGAGTTACGTTGACGAGTACATACAACCTCAAAGATTCCTTAGAAGCTTGGAAAATTGGTAGCGGAGAGTTTATGGAGTTGGTGAAGAACAAACAGGCGATGAAAGATGATGATATTCCTTGGTCCAGTCAAAAGATTGAACATCATTCTGCTGGTTCAAAGCTACTTTGGAGCTCAACAATGGTAGGACATGATGACAAAGTGAATCTGATAAAGGAGCTACTTGTTCAAAATTCACGGAAAGAAAGACGGGTTGTGGCCATTGTTGGCATGGGAGGTATAGGCAAGACAAAGCTTGCTCAAACATTGTATCAACATCCAACAGTTTCATATCATTTTGACGTTGTTGCTTGGACAACTGTGTCTGCACAATCTCACATGCCACAAATGCTTCATCAGCTCTTGTCTACTATGCAAATCTCCCGGACCCAGGAAAAGGGAATCATCAATAAACGCAACCAAGAACTAGCAGATCTGTTACGTAAATGCTTATTGGGTCGGAGGTATCTCATTGTTGTAGATGACTTGTGGAGCACAGACTCTTGGGATGAAATCCAAAGGTGCTTCCCAGAAGATAGTAATGGAAGTCGAATATTGGTGACCACTCGACTTCAAGATGTGGCCACTTATACAGGATCACATAATTATTATTCGCTAAACTTGCCTTGTCTAAATCCAGATGAAAGTTGGGAATTATTTATTGGGAGGATTCTCAATTATGGAAGCTTAAGCTTGCCGCCTATGCAGAAACTTGAAGGGATATGGAGACACATTGTTGAGTATTGCAAAGGATTGCCGCTTGCAATTGTGATAGTTGCAGGATTGCTACAAGCCACCAATGAGTCACTATGGGAATCTGAATCAGAGGAGATTGAGAAAATATTATATGCCACTGTGACCACCAATCTTTCTGAAAGAATTTCGAGGATACTCAGGGTGAGTTTCATTCTCTTACCTAATGTCTTGAGAGTTTGTTTCTTATATCTGGGAGTTTTTCCTGAAGATACTGCAATCCCTATGAAAAGACTTGTAAGATTATGGGTAGCAGAAGGTTTTGTGAATGTGGATGATCAAAGGAGCTTAGAAGAAGTTGGTGAGGATTACTTAAAGGATCTTGTATCTAGGAGTTTAGTTTTGGTTGACAGTTTGAGCTTAGATGGCAAGATTAAGTCATGTAAGGTGCACGACATCGTACACAAGTTTTGTAGGAATGAAGCAATGAAGGAGGGCCTCCTACATGTTACAGATGAAGTATCATCTGTAATGATGACTCAACGTTGGTTAAGTTTTGAATCAATGTATCCTGAAGTTGATGGCTTCAACAGGTATGGTTCCCTCTTTTGCTTTCCTGCAACCCCTGATTTAAAGAGATTGAGAGTACTAGATTTAGGTTCTCTCCACTTCATTAACGGTATACCTTCATGTGTTGCGGATCTAATTCTTTTGAGATACCTAGCTCTGTGCCCATCCAAATCTCTTAACAGTTTACCTGTGTTAAAGAATGGGAATTTAGAAACTCTTGTGCTTTTGGAAAATTGGGGTGGCACTACAACTGCAGACAACCCCAATCCTTTGATACTTGAAATTCGGGAGTTGCCAAAATTGAGACATCTAAAAGTTTGCCCAACATTTGTGTTGGGTACTCCAACTCCGGTTCATCAATACATACAGACAGTTCAATGGTTGCGCCCATTCCAATGTACGGAGCAAGTGTTTTTGATGATTCCGAATGCAAAAGTGATGGGTATTTTCATGGAGGAATTTGGAGAGCCGAATTGTTTGGATAATTTGAGGTATTTACATCAACTTGAGGAACTAAAAATTGAAAGCAGACACAATAATCCTGTTTTACTTCCAGTAGTTGTGGATGCTTTTCCAGTACACCTCAAAAAGTTGAAACTGAAGGGAACTTTGGTGCCATGGGATGCTATGACAGTTATTGGTATGTTGCCTAACCTCCAGGTTCTTAAACTTATAAATGAAGCTTGCCAAGGACAACATTGGGAACTAAGTGAAGGTAGTTTTCCTCAGTTAAAATCATTGCTTATTTATGGATCAGATTTGAGGCACTGGGAAGTCACTAGTGATGATTTTCCTGTTCTTGAGCGCCTAATTATTAAAGAATGTTATGAATTGGAAGAAATCCCTTCTAGTTTTGGAGGAATAGTCACTCTACAGTTGATTGAGTTGTGCCATTGTTATTCTGGGCTTGTCAACTCAGCCAACGAAATACAAGAAGAGCAAAGAGATTATTATGGAAATGATGAACTTGTTGTTCGTGCCTACAATATTTGGGTATCTATATATACAACTCACTCAACCTTACTTAGCTTTTGTATGCTATTTTAATTTCTATTTCATTCCCATCTTTAATTAATATATTCTTCTATCTAACTAAATTTCAGAGAATTGGTGAAGAGGAAGTAGAATGAAGATAGTGAAGGAGATTTTGAGGTATTAATAATTATCTCAAAACTGTGGGTTCATCACATGCATTATATTCCTAAGTTTATGTTGGCTTCTCTTCAATTCTTGCAGATCAGAGTTGGAAAGAAATCTGTAGAGGATGAGTGTAATAATGGTATGTGGATGTCCTGGCCTTTTTTTTTTTTTTTTTTTTTTTTTTTTTAGTGCTTTGAATTCAGTCTGAGGAATTGTTTCAGTGGAATTGTTTTTCTAGGGATGAGCTAAGCTTGATTTTGATGATTTTTTTTTTTTTTTTTTTTTTTTTTTTTGTGGGCTTGTATGTGTATTATATTTCATAAACTTTTACATGTTTATTCACTACATATTTCAGACTTGTTTTTAATTAATACCATGTGAATTGAAGGTTATATACATTTCAATTTTCAAACATTTATACCTTTATATTTTGCGAAAGGAGGAAACTTATAAAATCAAGTATTTTATATTTGTTTTTTATTTCTTTGGTTTGAAATTTCATATATACTCGGTATTGTTATCATCTAGCAACTAAAAAATATTATATATTTTACTATCAGCATGTAGTAGAGTCGTGTCCCAGAGTGTGTCAAAATCTGTCCACTTTTTTTTTTTAATCCTAATTTGTTCTGAATCTCTAAGCATGAAAGTTGTAGAAGATATATAGTCTTAAATTTCCATGCACAGTTGAATCACCTCAATTGAATTTCATATGAAAGAGATATGACAAAAATACTCTTAGCATGTCGCAAGCAATGTGGTGTCCCTTGTACATGTTAGATTCTTCCTTATTTTTTGGCCTTGATTCTAGAAATAGAACAAGCGAAAAGAGGACAACAAGAATGTAAAAACTAAAAAAGGTTTGCATAAAAAAAAGAACTCTTGAAACTAGTAAAATTTATAATATTTTATTTTCATTATTTGTTTCATCCCAATTTTTAATTATTGTGAATGATATATTTTTAGTCACTTAATTATTTTATGTAAAGATAGTGTGGAGTAGTTTTAATACTTAGAGCAATAGAGCTATTCCGTGAGGGAAGAATATTCGCAAATGAGAGGTATTCTTTCATCGAGGGAAAGGATTGAAAGTAGTAGTACTTCCTCCCTTCCCACAGCCTCAGAGCTTCAGAGCACAATGGTAGGGCGCACTGCTGAATTGGAACGTATCAAACGGTTATTCCTTGATGACAAATCTCAAGAAAGACTGGTTATACCTATAGTTGGCATGGCTAGAATATTGTTGACCAGTCGACATGATGAAGTGGCAAGATCGTATACTTATTGTTCTTTAAACTTGTCTTTTTTAAATTCAGAAGAAAGTTGGGATTTATTTCTCCAAAAGATTCATCCTGTAAGATTGCGCTCAGAAGTCGAGGCAATATGGATACACATTGTCAATTATTTCAAGGGATTGCCTTTTGCAATTGTTATAGCTGCTGGACTTGCACGAGCAATCAATGAGTCACTATGGGTTTCCAAGGAGATCGAGAGAATATTTTATCAAAGGATGTGTTATGATCTTGTTCAAGGTATTTCAAAGATACTTATTTTGAGTTATAACAACTTGCCTAATTTTTTGAAGATTTGTTTGTTATATTTGGGAATTTTTCCTGAAAGTACTGCTATTCCTGTGAAAAAATTTATTAAATTATGGATAGCAGAATGGTTTGTGAAAGTAGAAGGTGAAAAGAGCTTAGAAGAAGTTGCTGAGGATTTTGTAAAAGAACTTGTATGTAGGAGTTTAGTTTTGATTGACAAAACTAGCTTAGATGGCAAGATTAAGACATGTAAGGGGCATGACATACAGGGACGGAGCCAGGATTATGTGATGCGGGGGGCCAATCACGATTCAAGAGTAAACAATTAAATGCATTAATATTCATTTAGCATATACCAAAATAGATTATTACATTACAAATGTACTAAAATTTATAATGCCTCTCTTGCATATCACGAAAAGCATCTATAATTGAATCTATATTAAATTGTTTTTGTAATTTTCTTTTCAATATACACTAACAAACAATCATTAAGAAATTGATCATCCATCTTGTTGAGATGTTGAATCTTCATAATTCTTTCTTTTAAAAAAAGTATCAATTTTTTGTGTCTTTTTCATTATAGCTCAATCTTCCTATATTCATAATTAATCATAATGTTAATATATTTCGGTAAGTCAATTAAATATTTAAACCAACCAAGTCATTAAACATTTAAAATAATGAGTAATGATATAAAAATATAATATAACATAATTAACAATTCAATCTTCCTATATTCACAATTAATCATAATGTTAATATTTTGGTAAGTCAATTAAACATTTAAACTAACCAAGTCAATTAAACATTTAAAATAATGAGTAATGACATAAAAATATAATATAACATAATTAACATAATATGCAACAAGACATAATTTTCCATAATCTATCAAATCTGATATTCTAAAATCAAGAATATATTAGTGCTTATAATATTCTTAAATCTTAATTAGTTAATTAAACTTAATTCCCTGTGTGATCTGACTATGTGTTTCTCAACATCTACTAGTTTTTTGTTAGCCATTAATGAAAGAAAACTAAAAGCATAAACTTAAGAAAATAAATTTTAAATATTTATGGGAGTTAATAATAATACAAATTTACAAAGTAATTATTCAAAACTTTAAAGAAAAATGAAAAAATTACCAAAATAATTGTTGAAGAAGAATGGAGGATTGAAGAATATGAAAACCTACCGACGAGTGAAAACTTGTTCTGGAAAGAATAAAATATGTAAAAGTTTGTATGGGGTTTCAATTTATTTTTTTTTTTCAAGTATTTATTACCTTTTTCCTAAAAAAAGTTTATTGCCTTTATTGGAACTTGAAATTTGGGAGACTTGGCAGTCAGGCAGGGACAAATGTTTTGAGGAGGCCAAAAATTATATATATTATAATACTATAAAAAAATTTGGTGAGGGGGGCCAAGGCCCCCTGCATCCATAACATACCTCCGTCCCTGATAACATAGTACATGACTTCTGTAAGAGGAAAGCAATGGAGGAGGACCTCTTACATGTTGTAGATGGACATTTTGGTAACTTACATGTAAGTATTGAAACAAGGAATAATGTTTCACTTGACGATAATAGATCTCGATCCATTTTATTGTTTTTTTCAAATTTATTTATTGACCAAATTTCAGATTTCAAGATGTTGAGAGTATTGGATCTAAGTGGTACTCCCTGCTTTGATTGGCATTTTTTGTTTATTAGTATGAGTTTTGATGATCTAATTCTTTTGAGATACTTAACTGTGAACATAGACTTCTGTAGCCAATTGGAAATGCGAAAGTCGAAAGAGAGTTTTAATCTACAAACTCTTGTGTTTCTTACAAAAGAAGAAATATTTGTGGAGTATTAAACATTGTATTCATTTGGAGAAGATCCCTTCCACTGTTGTTGAACTATACAGTTTGCAATTAATTGAGTTGCACGGTTGTCATTCTTTGCTTGTTCATTCTACCAAAGAAATTCAGCAACAACAGAAGGAGTTATTTGGATATAATTGGCTTGTTGTTCATGACTACAATACTCAGGTTTTTCTTTAACTCACTCACATTTTCGTATTTTTAAGTGGTGGTGGTGGTGGTGGTGGTGGTGGTGCAGAGATAACAAAACCCATGATAGTTTTTTTTAGGAAAAAATGTCAAATAGGCCTTCAAATTTTAGCTAAGAAGTCAATTAGCCCCTCTAATTTTTTAAAAGTGCAATTACACCCATGAACAATGCATTTTGATGCAATGAAGCCCAAATACAGGTAAATGACCTGCTATTATATGTCATTAAAAATCCGACCACTTTCCGACATGTTTTCCGATAAAAAAGTGACTGGCGAACGGTCGTCGATCACGGAAAAGGCAAGTGGTTGCCTTCTCTAACGAGAAGGTCACCAATGTGGTCACCTACTCGCCGGAGAAGGAAACCCAAACTGATGTAGGACAAAACAAGAGAAGAAAAACAACTAGAGCAGAGATAACAAAACTCAGGATAGTTTTTTTTTATAAAATCTTCCATATTCCATTAGAAACTTACGGATGAGATTTTATAGATAGATTTACTGGAAAGAAACAAGAGAAATAACTGCTAGGAAGTTGGGAAGGGTAATCATCGCATAGAAAATAACAAGTAAACAATAAATACTAAACACATGCATGCAAATTGTGGCCACCATAATGAAGATGTAAATGGTCTGCACATCATTATTCCCCCTAGCGCATATTTTCCTGTAGAGTTCTACTACTCCCTTAAATTTACTTCCTGATGTGGCAGAAGTTGATAGGTTATTTTTTTCGGTGTGCCCTTTAAAAGTGTTTAATCAAAATTTTAAATGTGAGAGTAAGAGTTGGGAGTAATGAATGAGAATACATATAGTATTTTCTTTTCCGGTATAACAAAAAATAGTATTTTCTTCACTACTCTTACTCTAAAAATAGATAAAAGAGATAAATTGTGAAATATACACACACATCAATGCTTTAAAACAAAGATTATTTGGACACCTAAAGAGGAGCTGAAAGCGCGTTGACTATGGAAACGAGTGTAAATAATACATACATCAACGTACATATATAACCGATCTTATGCCTTCAAAAAAAAAAAAAAACGATCTTATCTCCACTTGAATTATTTGGTTATTGATTAATTAACCCCATTGCACAACAGTTCATCACCCTCAAAAGTCAACATACAGCAGAGAAAGAGAAATAGTGTATATCAGATCACTGCAGTTTACAGACATAATCAAAAACTAAACAGGGGCAATAAGATACAGCAGATCCAGGAAATTAAGAGTAAGGCATATTGTTGGAGATTACATTCAAGATGGTGGTTTAAAGTGTGTAGAAGGAAGACACTCTTGTCCCACATTGGAAGGATAAGGGACTAATTCCCACCTTTTTAATACCAACCCATTTGGAAGGCTTAAACTATTGTAGAGAGAGAAGGAAAGGAAACCCCACATGCGCGCCGCCGCCGCCCGCCCGGCCTGGTTTGGTTCGCACGCGCATCGCGGTGTGGTGTAGTCAGCGTTTTACTCGGACTTTATTTTAATTCCGAGTTTTTTCCTTTTTAGAGGTAGATTTCATATGAAATC